GCCGACGCGTGGATCGCCAGGGAGAACTCCAACGCCAAACTGACGGTCAAGAAGGATAAGGCCAGGGGGCAGTGAGGGATGAGCGACGCAGAACAACGGGTTCGAATGAGTTTGAGTTTGGCGTGTCAGTTGCTCGCGTAAAGTCGAGCGTAAGCGCTCTCGCGTCCAGCGTAGCGTGCCGCGCTGGCGGTTCGCGTAAGCCACCGCGTAAAGTCGCTAGGTTATCTCTCCTAACACCGGTTTTTGATAGTAGCTCAGACGGGCCCGCGGCCACAGGCAAGGAAGCTGTAGAAACCGAGTCAGGCATGATCCGGTCGGCCGAACCGGGGGTTGGGATGGGGAAAGGGGGGGGGTGGTACGACATCTGTTGTGTGCAGCTGGTTTCGTTCCCGCAACCAGGCGTTTTTCTCGACACATCGGCACCTCCAGCGCTAGGAGGCATCTGGGAAATCAGCTGCGTGAGCTGATTCGCCGATCCCCCCCTTTACTATCCCCCCCTTTCGTCCGAACGACGCGGGTACAGGCAAGGGAGCTGCAGAAGCCGAGTCAAGCATGAGGAGGATGATGCTGCGATCACTTGCGAACCCCGCCTCTGCGGGACCGAACGGCGCTGTGATATTGGACGCGCCCTTTGTAAGGAATGCGCTTGGGCGCAGACGTGCCCGAAATCTATGAATCCCCTGCTGGTGCCTCAGAACTCTTGCCTGCGGGGGCACGTGGGGTTCACACGTGGCTGCCACAGCATGGGGAAGAAGTGATCCGCGAGCGGACCCCAGACGCCCGTACACGTCAAAGAGAAGCTCGCCAAGCTGAAGATGCAGTCTGACGTGCTCTTCAAGCGCGCCGAGGCACCTGAAGTAGCGGGAGGAGGTCCACGTATCTATCCTTTTCGGGGGATTTCCCATCGGTCGTTGCACGTAGGCATTTTCCCAATTAGTCTCGGCCTGTGGGCCCTTACTTCTTCTGTCGTCGTTCTTGATTTCTTGGTTCCCTTGGAGGTTCCCTGGACTTGGTTCCTTGGTTCCTTGGTCTTAGTTTCTTGGTTCCTTCTTCATGGTTACTTGGTTCCTTGATTTTGATTCCTTGATTCCTTGATTTACGGGCGCCTCCCGTAATTTGATTCCAGGAAGTAGACTGACTGACTGACTGACTGAACTGACAACTGAATCACGAAAGCCGTTTGATAGCAGTTTTCTTTCCGGGGGTGAGGATATTTCGGTTGCAGTTTGAAGCCAGCCAGGGGGTGTTGAGGCTATTTCGCTAGAAGGGAGGTGTGTGAGGATATTTAGCTGGCAGTTTTAGGCCAGGGGCGGTGAGGATATTTCGCTGGCAGTTATAAGGCCGGGGGTTGATGGTATTTCGCTGGCAATTTGCAAGTCCAGGGGATGAGGATATTTAGCTGGCAGTTTTAGGCCAGGGGCGGTGAGGATACTTCATTGGCGGCAGTTTTAAGGCCGGGGGTTGAGGGTATCTCGGTGGTAGTTTTATGACCAGGGGCGGTGAGGACATTTCGCTGGCAGTTTCAAGCGAGGATTGTGAGGATATTTCGCTGGCAGTTGTAAGTCTGGGGGTTGAGGATGTTTCGGTGGCAGTGTTATGGCCGAGGGTTGAGGGTATTTCGCTGTCAGCTGTAAGTCCAAGGGATGAGGATATTTAGCTGGCTGCTTTGGGCCAGGGGTGAGGACATGTCTCTGGCAGTTTAAGCGAGGGGTGTGGGGATGTGTCGCTGGCAGTTCTAGGCCAGGGGTGAGGATATTTCGCTGGCAGTTTTAGGAGAGGGGGGTGGGGATATTTCGCTGGCAGCTTCAAGTCAAGGGGGTGAGGATATTTCGCTGGCAGTTTTAAGCCATGGGGGTGAGGATATGCCGCTGGCAGTGTTAAGCGAGGGGTGTGAGGACATGTCGCTGGCAATATTAAGTCCGGGGGTTGAGGATATGTCGCTGGCATCATTAGGCCAGGCGGTGAGGATATGTCACTGGCATCATCAGGCCAGGGGGTGAGGATATTTCGCTGGCATCATTAGGCCAAGGGGTGTGGATATTTCGCTGGCAGTTTTAGGCCAGGGGGTGAGGATATTTCGGTGGCAGTTTTCAGTCCAGGGGGTGAGTGCATTTAGCTGGCGTTTTTAAGCGATGGGTCAGGATATTTCGCTGGCAGTTTTAAGTCACGGGTTGGAGGATAGTTCGCTGGCAGTTTCATGCGAGGGGTGTGAGGATATTTCGCTGGCAGTTTCAAGCGAGGGGTATGAGGATACTTCGCTGGCAGTTTCAGGCCAGTTGGTCAGAATATTTCGCTGAGGGGTGTGAGCATATTTACCTGGCAGTTTTATTGCCGGGGGTGAGAGAGCATTTCTCTGGCAGTTTCAAGGCCGGGGGATGAGGATATTTCACTCGCAGTTTTAAGGGAGGGGTGTGAGGATATTTGCACCTCAGGGGGTTGAGGATATTTTGCTGGCAGTTTTAGGAGAGGGGGTGAGGATATTTCGCCGGCAGCTTTCAGTCCAGGGGGTGAGTGTATTCAGCTGGCGTTTTTAGGCCAGGGGCGGTGAGGATGGTTCGCTAGCAGTTTCAAGCGAGGGGTGTGAGGATATTTCGCTGGCTGTTCTAAGCGAGGGGTGTGAGGATACTTCGCTGGCAGTTATAAGGCCAGGGGCGGTGAGGATAGTTCGCTGGCAGTTTCAAGCGAGGGGTGTGAGGATAGTTCGCTGGCAGTTGTAAGGGAGAGGTGTGAGGATACGTCGCTGGCAGTTTTAGGCCAGGGGCGGTGGGAATGTTTCCTAGACGTAACCAAGCATCATCATGTGCCACCCACGGGCGGTCACCTTATGTGCCACGCTCTCTGCACAATGGCGGATAAGAAGGCGGATAAGGAGGAGGAAGATGGGGGCGGTGGGGGAAGGAGGATACCGACGTCGTGAGGGGGGGAGGGAGACTAGTGGGGAAGGGGAGGAGGAAAAGGAGGAAGAGGGGGAAGGCGTCGGACGAGGAGGAGGAGGAGGTGGACGACGAGGAGGGCGGAGGATGCGGAAGACGAGGAGGGAGTAGGAGAGGGAGGAGGCTGCGGAAGGAGGAGCCAGAGGAGTTGGACGACGGGGGGGGATGGGTGAGAGGGAGGGCGGAGGACGTGAACGAAGAGGAGGTGGCGAAATTGGGGGTCAGAGGTAGGCCCTGAGGGGAGTCGTGATCGGTGCGGGCATCCACGCGCTACGCGATGCAGTGCTGGGTCTTACCCTGCCTGGCCCAGTGGGGGGCTACACATGCAGCGCGGTGCTGCGCCCGTATATATGCATAGAGATCTATGTATATGCTCGTCCCTTGACGTGGGGTTGGCGGGGGGTCAAGGGGCGAGCTGTCCAGTGTGTTGGGTTCCTTGGTTATTTGGTATTGTAATTTAGTTATCATCGTGTCTTTTGGGCTTTGTACCTTGGTTCCTCGGTCTTGGCTCCGTGCTGCCTCGCCATGCCTTGCTAAGCAATGGCAAGCAATGTCAAACCATGCCGAGCAATGCCACGCGGTTCTGGACGGCGCGCAAGTCGTGCCAATCAATATGCCAAGCAATCCCATGCAATGTCATGCAATTCCAGGCATTGCGCCCATGCAATAGGAAGCTGTTCCCCAGTTGACGTCGCGCCGGGGTCACTTTGGACTCCCAAGCCGCAAGAGTTTTCAGGCTCCGTCTTAATTCAAGACTCGAGCGGTTTTCCCTCTTCAAGGGGAAGGCGGAAACCCAATCTACTTCCCTCGCTTCCTGCTTCATGTTTCTACCCACTTCTTCTTCCGATCGATGGGTAGAGGGTCTCGCCGCTGGTTCTGGCCTACCACGCTTCGGCGTGACACGCTAAACCACGTCGCAGTTCCCAAGCATCAACGGTCTGTGCTCGGGGGGGCGGCTAGGGATGTAAACTGGCGCCCACCTTGTCGAAGTAGCGCTCAGGCATTCTTCTTGAGGCACTGCAGGACATGGGGTTCTTGGCTTCCTCATGTGGACTTGTGGATCCCGCTGATCCAGGTGCGCGTCGTTCCGCGGTGAGGCACGTCAGGCGGACGGTTGCAGGCTTCTCCCGCAGATCCGAAGTTCACATTTGCAGCTTGGATCAGCAGTCCCGTTTTTATTGGACCAGTTGCGAGTCTGGTCGGATGTGGCCCTCCTCCTTCTCCTCATTTTCTCCCGTTCTACCGCTCGTCCTACCATTATCGGAGGTTGGGGGGTGAGTCGACTTGAAACGGAGACCCCCCTACCAGGAAATCGATTTCGGTTTCGGGTTCGGGTCGTGCCTGCCGTGCGCGCGTGTGGGCGAGGCGAAGCTGCGTGGGCGGGCGAGAGGAAACCCTCCTGTGGCTGGGCCGCGGCCGGACCAAATGTTGCTCCTCCGGCGGCCGGTGCGGCGCGCTGTCCCGCTGGTGTCCCGTGGTGTCCCGTGGTGTCCCGTGGTGTCACGTGGTGTCCCGTGGTGTCCCGTTGAGTGAGATCGATAGTGAGATCGATAGTGAGATCGATACTGAGATCGATACTGAGATCGATGTGGTGCACCGAGGTGTCCCGTGGTGTCCCAAAAAATGAGATCGATAGTGAGATCGATACTGAGATCGAGAGGTGTCCCGAGGTGTCCCGTGGTGTCCCATGGTGTCCCGTTGAGTGAGATCGATAGTGAGATCGATACTGAAATCGATACTGAGATCGATGTGGTGCCCGAGGTGTCCCGTGGTGTCCCGTGGTGTCCCAAAAAGTGAGATCGATAGTGAGATCTACACTGAGATCGACAGGTGTCCCAAGGTGTCCCGTGGTGTCCCGTTGAGTGAGATCGATGGTGAGATCGATAGTGAGATCGATGTGGTGTCCCGAGTTGTCCCGTGGTGTCCCGTGGTGTCCTATGGTGTCCCGTTGAGTGATATTGATAGTGAGATCGATAGTGAGACAGATAGTGAGATCGAGAGGTGTTCCGCGGTGTCCCGTGGTGTCCCGTTGCAGCCCGTGGTGTCCCGTGATGTCCCGTTGAGTGAGATCGATATTGAGATCGATAGTGAGATCGACAAGTGTCCCGTGGTGTCCAGGGGTGTTCCGTCGAGTGAGATCGATAGTGAGATTGATTGAGTCAGATGTTGGTTCCCCCCTCTTCCCCCTCCCCAGAACCTCCTTATTACCCGAAGGGTGGCCGGATAGGTATGTCCCCTGCTCCTTCTCCCCTGTCTCCTCTTCCTCCTCCTCCTCCTCCTCCAATCTACGCGTCCCTTCTCACACGCCCCTATCCGAGGAGGCAGCCGATGCCGGCGATATGGCGGGCAGCAGATCAGCGGTGGAGCTTGCGAACATAGTGAACAAGGATCTTCATTGGAGGAGGAGAAGAGGAGGAGCAGGAGGAGGAGGAGGATGCGGAAGCAGGGGTCATCCGTAGCCATTTTGACTCAAGCTGGATCTTCGGAACTCTGGAGGCTTCAGCTTGGACGCAGCCGTGGGGCAGGCTCGAAAACCCCAGTGATTTGAGCGCAGCATCTTCGAACCCACGACGAATTTCAGGCGGTCGTGGCAATATTGCGAAGGCCTTACGGTCGGTGCCGCCGACCCCGGAAGACGACACCCATGATGAAGGTGGCAGCCGGAGGTATTCAAGCACGAGAAGCAGGAGGAGGATGAGGAGGAGGAGGAGGAGGAGCACGAGGAGGAGGAGGAGGAGGACGAATACGCGAGGAGGAGGAGGAGGAGGAGGAGGAGGAGGAGGAAGACGCGAGGAGGAGGAAGTGGAGGAGGACGATGACGACGACGACGACGACGACGACGACGACGACGACGACGACGACGACGACGACGGGCGGCGGCGGCGGCGGCGACAGCGGCGGTTTCGACGACGACGAGGAGGACGACGACGACGGCGGCGGCGGTAGCCGCGGCGGCGTCGGTAGCCGCGGCGGCGGCGGCGGCGGCATGCGGCGGCGACGGGCGAGGAACGGATTAAAGGGAAGGCCCCTCCCGAGGAGGAGGGAGGTAGAGGGAGGAGGGGGAGGTGAAGAGGGGGGAGGAGGACACTCCCCCAAATGTTCGGGATGGGCAAAACAATCAGAAAAGTATGCCGGGGGGAGGGTGCGTATCTGGGTGGCGACCCCCCCCCGGGACCCCCCCGGGACCCCCCCCCGGGACCCCCCCCCTTCGGCGGGGAAGGGATCGAAGGGAAAAGGCTTCCCTTCGATTCAATTACGATGGAACTCATTTTCGTTGAGGGTTGCGCGGTAGGTCATTTACGATGTAGGTCATTTTCGCTACTTGTGGCGCGCCGAGGACGACGCGTCTTCCACACGCCGACAGGGTCGGCGGATTTTGGAGACGGCATCACCAGCCGTTGGCAGGCGCAACGATGGTGCCTGGCTGGTACTGTGGCAAGTGCTGTTTCTTCAACTACGGGCACCGCCAGTCGTGCAAGCAAACTGGATGTGGCAGTGTCAGCCCGAGTGGCGCGGTGCTCCTGAGGCGTGGCGAGGGGGGTCCGTGCTGGACGCCTGGGAGTGCTTGGGAAAATGGGCCACCGCGCAAAGGCGGAGGCAAAGGCCGACCCAACCGGGCTCCCACTGAAGGAGACCGCCAGTCTTTTCCCAAGCATCAGATCTCGGCCGAGGAGTGGAAGATGTGACTTACCATGGACGAGGTGCAGTTCGTCACTTTGTCGCAGTCGATGCCGCAGTCGATTCAGGACCATCTCAGCCATGCGAGAGCCATGCAGAACTTTGGACATCAGGGCGCGCAGGCGGAGGCGCAGCAGGCAAATCTGTCGACTGGGCTGTATTCGCAGCAGGTGCTATACATCAAGCACAATCTATAAAGCTGGGTTCTGCAGCTGAGCAAGCCATGGTGGTGGTGCTGGAGGCCAATCACGACCTTGTGGAAGTTGCCCACTTGTCAAAGGCCGGGGAAGGCCAGGAATCGCACGTCGCAGCAGCTGGTGACGTCCGTCAAATTGCACTTCCAGACCCCAGTCAGCCAGGCCATCCAGACGTTCAGGACTTCGGTGCCCGAAGAGGCGAAAGAAGTCTCATGGACGCAGGAGGCCTTCGACAAGATGCGCGACGCCATGCTGGAGTGCGCTTAGATGGCCGAGGCCGCAGCCACCGCCCCGGCCGCAGGCCAAGGCCTAGCAGGCTGGCGTTGGCGGCAGGCGGCAGGTGGGCGGTGCGCTGCGGGCGCCGACGCAGCCTCCGCCGCTGGGTCGGCTGCTGGGGCTTCTGCTGCTAGGAGGGATGGCAGTCCTGACGTCGTCAATTCGGCGGCAGCCGACGCCATGCAGCACGCGTCTGATCTGCGCGAGCAGTTGGAGAAGCATGGCACGCTCAAGGGCCCCGGAGTCCAAGCAGCAGTCCAAGGTCAAAGGCTTGTTCAACACCGCTCAGCAGAAGTTCGAGGAGAAGAGGGAGGGCCAGGCCGAGCGTAGCAGGGGCCCTGCTGCGAGTCGACGGCCGGAGGAAGCAGATGCAGGAAGCAGGGCTGAGCGCTCCCAGCCTTCACTCGACTGGTGACAGCGAAGGTCACGAGTTGGCCGCGGTGCCAGACTTGCCTGGAAAAAATATTGCGATTCGCTCACATGCATGTTGCAAGAGTGTAATGTGCGAAGGGCTGACACGGCCCAGCGCACTAGCGCGCTTCTGGAAGTAGGTTGGACTACCCCGTTAGGGGCCTGCGATGCGACCGAGTCTGGAGCCTCTCTGCGGGAGTCGGATTCGCGAGGAGGGCGGGATCGGAATGGGAAGCGTGCCCGAACACCCTCGGCCCCGCTCGCTTTGTGCCCCCGTCGAAAGCGGGCGCGGTTGGGGCGCCATTGTAGTTGCCAGCGTCTAACTCCCCACTGGGGGCGGGGCGCGTGCCCGAGGGCGCCGGATTCCGAGGCAGCTTGGGGAGTTTTTTCCCGGAAAGGGCCTGGGCCCAGGGTTCTTTTAGTTGGTTCCCCCCCGGTTTTGACGGCTATAGGGCCGGCGAATTTCTTTTGCGATCAATAACGAGGTCGCGTAGGGCCGGCGAATTAAAAATTGAGGATGTCTCGAGCGAAACGCTTGTTTTTTTTTTGTTGTTTTTTTTTTTTTTTTTTTCAGAATTTGTTGAGGATGTCTCGAGCGAAACGCTTGTTATGTGTTATAGATTGTCCTCTCCTGGGGACCTGAATTCTGAGGATCTCTCAAGTGGATTGCTTGTTTTCACGTGCCCAGGTCTTGAGGATGTCTCGAGCGAGACGCTTGGTTTCACGCCTCCAGGTGGCCCAGACAGATGTTTAGCATGAGGATGTGTTGAGGATGTCTCGAACCAGAGGCTTGTTTTCACGTGCTCAGGTCGCCCAGGCGGATGTCTAGCATGAGCATTTGTTGAGGATGTCTCGAGCGAGACGCTTGTTTGCACGTGTCCAGGTTGCCCAGGCGGATGTCTAGCATGAGGATGTGCTGACAACGTCTTGAGCGAAACGCGTGTTTTCACGTGTCCAGGTCGCCCAGGCACAGCACAGCCCTCGGCACGGTACATCAATATCGATACCCTTAGCATTGCAGCCTGGCATGTTGCCTGGCACGTTCCGCGGAGCGTCCCGTGGCGAGTCCCCCTGGCACGTCGCGCGGTGCACGTCCATTGGCACGTTCCGTAGCGCGTCCCCTTGGCACGTCCCGCGGTGCGTGCCCATGGCACGTCCCCTGGCACGTCGCCTGGCGCGTCCCTTGGGACGTTCCGCGGCGCGTCCTCTTGGCATGTTCCCTCTGTCGATTAGTTCTGGGGCAGCTACCATCTGCTCAGGCAGCTCGAGCTTACGATCCAGATCAGTTCGGTGAGGACTCGGATGCCAGGGAGGACTCGATCCACAACGTTATATAGAGCACAATCGCGGCATGGCACATCGCAGTTCAGCACGGCCCAGCACAGAACAGCCGTCGGCACGGTACATCAAGATCGATACACTCAACTATGCACCTTGGCACGTTCCTTGGCGCGTTCCGTGGCGAGTCCACCTGGCACGTCGCGCGGCGCGTCCCCTGGCACGTCCCTCGGCACGTCCATTGGCACGTTCCGTAGCGCGTCCCCTTGGCACGTCCCGCGGTGCGTCCCCATGGCACGTCCCCTGGCACGTCGCCTGGCGCGTCCCTTGGGACGTTCCGCGGCGCGTCCTCCTGGCATGTTCCCTCTGTCGATTAGTTCTGGGGCAGCTACCACCTGCTCAGGCAGCTCGAGCTTACGATCCAGATCAGTTCGGTGAGGACTCGGATGCCAGGGAGGACCCGATCCACAACGCTATATAGAGCACAATCGCGGCATGGAACATCGCAGTTCAGCACGGCGTAGCACAGCACAGCCCTCGTCACAGTACATCATCATCGATACATTCAGCATTGCATGTGCCCGTCGCCCAATCAGGTGTCTTTTAAATGTTGCAATGCTTTACATTTCTATATTCCTTTCCGGGTTCGTGGGTCGATCATGTTTTTTAATATGTCGGACAAGCCGATCGTGATTGCCAGGGGCTTACTCCCGAGAACATAAACGCGCTGGAATCTTGGATGAGTTGGGGGGAGTAATCGCGCAACCTGGTAAGTCCCCATGCCGAGTGGGTAAGGAGTGGAGAACTATTGGTTTCTTTGTGGCGAACAGTTTCTTGATGCAGAAAGTGGTCAGTTGCGGGGGAACCGACGAGACGGATTTGCCGACGCACTATCCCGTGAAGCTGGTACTTCGCTTGGACTCGCACCTGGCCCAGATTCAACGCCCAGCGAAGCCGGGGCCTTTTACTGCCGAGTTGCCCATTGGCCCCGCGCCAGCGCCGCCAGCTGAGTGGGATGCCTTCGGGGGCAAGCTAGAAGGCGTCGTGGCCGGCGGCGAGTTGGACCCGCATCGGGCGAAACATGCGCGCGGTGAGTCGCGTCTTCTGGCCGAGGCTGAGTTTGTCAGCATATGCCAGACTGCGGCTTGCAAGGCTGGCGGCTCCAATGGAAGGGGGTCATCGTGCCGGTTCGTTGGGAGACAGGCGGTGGCGTGCATTCTGTGTGTGCGTGTGTGTATGTGTGTGTGTGTGTGTGTGTGTGTGTGTGTGCGTGGGGGGGGGGGGGGGGGGGCGCCCCTCGGGGTCTCTCGTGTCTAGGGCCATGTGGAGACGGCGCGCGAGGATGGATGGGGTCGCAGCATCTCGCCGGGAAAGGCATCGTGGCGGCAGCCAACAGGCGCGAGATCTCCTTCGCCAAGCCCGCGACCTCCTCAGGATCTCACGGGAGAACGAGAAATGGAACGGCCCGAGGGTTCAACACTTCTCGCTGCAAGGTAATAGCGCCGAGGGTCTGCGTGGAGCGCTGCAGGCCCATAGTGACTGCGCCC